GTACCAATTACTGATTACGAGTCTTCATAGCCAATAACATCACGGCTTAACTGACAGACGACCAATAACATCGCGACGTAATTGACCAATCAGATCAATAACCAGAGTATAATACCATCAACTGACGTGATACAACTCACTTTGACTCTGAAGATGACTACCGCACGGGTTGTCGAAACGTCAGTCACTGTCAACAACAACAGTCCTATTCAGGACTACGTTCACGCGGACGATCAAACTCAACCTACTTTTGAATCATCTAATGTTTGTAAAACACCCAGTTTGAATACGAAATAAAGTAAAGACTGCAAGAAAGAGATGCACCCGTCTTAATTACCAGGATGTTTTGCATGAACATATCGGACACCGGCAAACCATCCATTCGTTTAGCTTTTCAGCTAGTTCCAATTGCTTGACAGGTTTTACAGAGTAAAGAAAGGCCGCTTTGGTTATTATCTGCCTCGCACTCTATTCGGCACCCAACAAAAATGTGACATACACCGTAGATTTTCAGGTTTTAAGAGTGAAAATAGTCAACTTTAAACATTCTTTAACTCGTACTCTATTCGGCATGCAGCAGGAATGTGCCTTATTGTACATTTTTGGGGTTTACAAAGTGAAAATCGCCAAGTTTGATCAATCTCTATCTTGTACTCTATTCAGCACGCACGTGAATTGCGACGAATACTTTATCCTAGTTAGGCTTTTCAAAAATAGGTAGGCCTCTTATAAATATTATTTCCGTATTAAATATCAACCTGTTTTGTAAACGATCTATTCTCATCAAAATAAATTAAATTTCAGAAATTGCTGTTTTCTATAACAAATGTAACAAAAGTTGTAACTTTTTTATCGGATGTCTTAGGCTGTTCCTTACTCATTCTCCAGAAGTCCATTTACGTTCTCAAGTCTTACAATTTTCTGTTTGGATGCATGCACCTTTGGATTCCCCTTTTTTACCTTTGAGTTTTTTATTATTTACCTTCACAACACATGGAAGAAAACTTCATTAGCTAAAAAGTACTGAGATCAGGTGCAGAATTTTGTACCCGTTCATTTAACAGGGGTGTTAAATGCCGGGTCATTGATTGAGGGTTGAATGATTGCGTCATTGACCTTTTAAACGAGTCATTTTCCCCTTTCCTGTGTACCGCGATTTCGCTTTTTTAAAGTCATATGAAGTTCCAAATAAATTCGCATTAAAATTTTCCATAACCTGAAATCTGTACTTATTTTGCTTCGCTTGTTTAGTACTAAATATTCAGCGCGGCGACGTAACAGAGAATGTGGGACAGATGATTTTAAAGTTCCTAACATTTAGCGTGGTTGAATGTCATTTTATATTCCAGACACACAAGAACGTGTTATCTAAAATGTTCTATTAATAATTACTCGAACAGGTACATGAATAAATAAATCTTAATCGTTTGGCTTAAAAGAGTTTTGATTCGTTTACACAGTAATTGTCCAGAATTTAAAGTCTCTCTATAAAGCTTTGAACGCATTTGAGACTATAATTGAATTGGATTCCGAGGTCACAGCTTTTTTATGTTGTCATCGCGTTGATTCAGGTATTTCATAATTTGTCATAATTTATGCGTTGTACTCTTCTCGGCACGGTACTCTATTCAGCACTTTACACTTCGACAAAACCGCGCTCGGCTTTCTGTTTGATGCCCTTAATGTCCTTTTTAACTTGTTCGTCCGCCGGTATGTTAGCCCGTGCAAAGTACTTTAGTGGCTTCGGACAGGTGTTCCTTTCCAAATAATTTCTCAGAGGTTTAATGGATTCTTCTGTTTTCTTTATGTTTGCTGTTGTTGTGGTTGGAACTTCGCTTGCTTTCCTTTTTAAATTTTTCTTTGTTGCTTCGTTCTTCCCTCTTAGTGATACTTGTGGTGAAGGTTGTTCGGGTAACTTGTCAGCCCAAAGTCATCGCTGTCGCTGCTGTTTGCGCCTTCTCCACCGATCAGTTCATCGTATTCTGTGTTAAGCAGGCTCTGAGAGGTTTCGGCTTCTGTGTTAAGCAGGCTCTGAAGGGTGGCGTCTTCACTATCGACCTCCATGTTAGTTTTCAGAAGAAATGTGAGTTTTACAACGGGGGGGGGGGGGGAAGGGTAACTCTATTGTTTTCCACCTAAGTTTCTTGGCCCACTCCGCCTGCCAGTATGACGTCACATAGTAACGGGCAAGAGCCTCGGGTCGCTTGTGCAAATTAGCAAGGGATACGACAGTTAGTAGCGCGAGCGAGGTCAAGGAAAAGCTAAGAAGCTAGAAAATATCGCTATATATTGCTAATTTGATCGTAAGTGTATGAGCTTTGTTGTTACTATAATCTGCTTGTGTAAACCGTTTTGCTATTTTTTGTCCGTAATTATGTAATTTTGTTAATTTGTTTTTTGGGCCGTGTTGCGGGATCGCCATCTTTTTCACGGGATCGGCAAGGTCATCAAAACATAAATCCTTTTTTTCTCTAAAATAGGCAAGGCCTAGTCTCCAAAATAGGAGGTTTCATTGACAGATCATACACGTTTGTATTTCATCTATTCTTTCGCTGGTTTAAACGACTTAACTTCATATCATACCTTTCGAGTGTGGGCCTCTATCTAATTCTTCACCAAATTTTACAGCTGTGATCGATTTCTTTGTCGCTGAGGCAGTGTCTTTCATTCTTTGCTGACTATTTATAAATATTTTCTCTGACGGTCCTTGTATTATAATTATAAACTTTGGTTTCTTGTGTGGCTTAAATATTTGAGGGCTTTTACGCTAGTAAATTGGCTTTTTGAAAATTGATTTTATGTGGTACTTTTGTATTTTTTAGGTTAAATTGTTGCTTACTCTTTAAAGTAAATTGTTGCTGCGGTTGTTTTGCTGAACTTGTCATCGTGTGGTGTTGCTCCTGCAGGCATTTGTTTGAATATTGTTTGATAGTTCCTCAAAAAAAAAACAAAAACAAAAACAAAAACCAAGTGGGTGTTGTAATTATTGATAAATATTGTTAAATTTTGTGTATGAGAACATTAAGTTATTTATATAGTAATTGAACACAACTGAGATGGGTGAAGTATATAAATTCACAAATATTAATTTACAATTTAAGAATTCCATAATGAATTAGGTGAAAAGGGAAATAATTATAGTGTTTGCAATTAAATAGTTAGATATAATAGTAATTAAAAGGAAAGTGGCTTAATATTTATCTAATAATCTTTTAGTATTAATAATAATTATATTATTTAAGGAGAAAGCAAAGAAAAAGCTACATTAACATGAATAAAAGAATGGCATTTATTGTAATATTGGTAACAACTGTTTTGTTGTATGATTTAGTGTTTCATACTACTTGTTTTTTCCCTGAGCAATATGCTATTGTTTGGTGCATCTGGTGGCATCTGTTCTATACAGTCATGTAATAATGGCAGCTTTTGCAAAAGCTTTTCCCAACTATTGCAAGGGTGCCTTATTGTCTTTATATCCCATCAAACTCTTTCTAAATTGAAATTAAGATGGAAAAGTGTTATTGAGTAAGGCAAGAGTTAAAGAGGCAAATTGATTCCAATTTATGAGTACTTCAATGGGCACTGTTACTGGTGTTATGCTTGTGTTTTTCTATCCAGTTTCTTTTATTCAACCTTCAGTTTGGTTTTTGGGATGCTTACAATCCTTATCTTCATAAAATGGGAAAAAATGTACAACACTTGTTCAAAGAAAATTGTCACGTACAGCCATACATTAAATTCTTTGTTGGAGATGATTTTTTTTCCCTTCTGTTGTCATTATAGGACTAGTATTACATTTCCTTGATCCTCTATATACGAGTTGCTTGCAGATCAAATCTAAATCCAGATTTTCTCTTGTGCATTATTTTTGGTGTCTAGCATCCAATATTTTTCTCTTTTTGGTTATGGTTACATGCCTTTTACTGTACTACAGCATCTTGTTGAACCTTTCTCCAACTCGAACTCTGGCAGTGGGCCATTCAGTTCCCTTTTACTTAGCAGCCACTGTCCTCATTCTGACTCTATCTGCTCTACCCTGTGAATTTCTTGCAGTTTCTTATTTGGTAATCTCAACAACAGTTGGCAAGAGCTTTGATGCTAACTCTGTCTATATATCATTCCCACGGATCTTCCCCTGTTGTTCCCTTCTTTGAATATTTTCTTTGGCATGTTATTAATTGGTTATCCTTGTATAAAACTGGTTGAATATCATCACCCTGGCTTTTGCTTTGGTATGGTGTTTAGGTCAAAAAGGTTTGTTACATCTATTTTAGTTAGATGTAACAGGGAAATCACACTCTTTTACCTTTGCTCCACATGGAATGGTCTTTGACTTGAAATCACACATTAATTCAAAATTCAACATAACAAGTGATTTATACTGGCTTTCAAATAAAGGCAAACCTTTACAACATGACCTCGTGCCTTTACAGGAAATATCAGCAGGGGCTGTTTTAATGAATGGGCGTTTAACTGTAGGTGGAAAATGTTGCATTAAGGGGTGCGAAAATGAAGTTGGCATTCGAAAATTTGACAGCTTAATTGGAAGGTATGAATTGAAGTTGTCCCCCAAGAGCTTAATTACTGATCAAGATGATGTTAACAATCTAAGAGTGTGTAACAAACACTATTCTAGTTTGGCATCCAGAGGGCACAATCCCGCAAAGGGTAAAACTCAATCCAAAACCCTAAGTGACGCCTATCATGGAATTTTGAAGGTCAATCCATGCATTGTGCAATGTTCACAGTGCAAAAAAAATGTCTGTCTTTCCAGTGACATTCCCTGCCTGAAACACAATACTAATGTGTTTAACAGTTTGTTTTCAGTGGCATGCAACTTTCTAGATGAGACAAATGGAAGTGAAACTGAATTTCACCATCACCTATATCAAGCTAGAGATTCAAATGATAAATCTCAAGTAAACTACATATGCATGTCATGTCAACCATTCTTTTTAAAATCTGTCAAAATACAGGATGAGTACAAGAAAGCTCACGCTATGTTTGAAAAGACACAAAAAAGTGCCAATCCATCAATTTTAACTGCTGACCCTGTGATTCAAGCCAAATCAAAAGCAGAGAACATCACTTCCACTCAAGCATCTGGGGAACCAGAAGCAACATTTGAGTTGCCTGATGTACTTTCAGACCTAAAAGGAGGGATTTTTGCGAAAGGGTTACTGCAACTCCTGGAAGAACACAGACCTACACCAAACACAACTGGTGGATGCTATGTTATGCTAAGGCAATATTTCTTTTTCCTCTTTGTTGTTGTGTTTCACGAGAGCAGACCCCCTCTCTGTGAACTTTATATCTGATGGAAGTTTTTCTATTATAGTTTGTGGGTAGCCTCTGTCAGTCAAGCGTTTTTTGAAATTTGAAATATTTTCCTCAAACGCAGTTTTTGAGGAGTTTGTTCGAAGGATTCTCAAGGCTTCTCCTTTGAAGTAACGAAAGTAACGCCTGTCTGTTATTTGAAACCGATCTGCGTTGGTTGCTGTGGAGATTAGACCCCCAGCCGGCGCGCATTAAAATCGGGCCTCTGGCTTATGATGTGGTGGCGGTTGTGTTGGTGGTGGGAAAACAGTAGAAATGTGGTGGAGGTGGTGGTGGAAGAGGAACACAATAAACAACGTGGTGGTGGTGGTGGAGGAAAACAATAGAAATGTGGTGGTGGAAAAAAAAGACGAGGGTAGGGTCAGTGTCCACGTTGAGTCGATGTGAGGTCGATGTACGGTAGATGGGATCGTGGATGGAGATTAATTGCGGAGAAGTAGGAAGGGTTTGTGGTAAGTAAAACATTGTCTTTCGTGCTAAAAAGAGCTAGTTTGCCTTTGCCCGCCGCCCGGTTAGCTCTGTTGGATAAGCGCCGGTCTGCCGAGCGGGAGGCCGCTGGTTGAAGTCCCGGCCGGACCAACACTCAGGGTCTTTAAATAACTGAGGACAAAGTGCTGCCTTTGTAAAGACATCTGCAAACGGTTAGACTTTCTAGTCTTCTTGGATAAGGACGAAAAACCGTAGGCCCCATCTCACAACCCTTGCATATATAAATTCTGTGGGACGTTAAAGAACCCACACGCTGTTCGTAAAGAGAAGGGGTCGTAGTCTCGGTGTAGTGGTCTATCTCTATCTTTGATGTTATGACGAAGGAAAATTAGAGAGGGTAAAAATAGTAACCCATAGGGTAGGTGTTAGGCACTCCCCGCCCCCTACCCCGCTCCTTTTGAGTAGCCATTTTCTCCTCTCTTTTCGAATTTCAGCATGGCGCTTTTGCAAGCAAAACATTCGCGCGCCCGAAGAAAACGTCTGCACTGCAGGCTATGTAAATCATTATCATGTTCTTTCATTTATTTATTGCCATGGAATGCGTTTACATTGTTTTTCTACTGTTAATAGCTAGGTTAATTTCGATTTAGAAAAGATAGCTATCATCGACTCTGGTTTTTGCAGAAAAATGTTCAGCGTAGATTCATTTTCTTCTTTCAGTAGGAAGAAAAGTTTTGGTATGTTGTTATTGGCAATGGCTTCAGAAATTGTTATTTACAATTAAATTTAATTTGCAAAACATTTCCTTTGAGCGCTTTTCGCCATTTTGTGTTGCCAATGCCGGGAAATCGTGGGTTGAAATGTCTGTTATTCGGAGACATGACTGCGCCTTCTTGATTAGGAGCAAGACACGGATTAATTGGTGACGATAAAAAGTCGTGCCTGCGGCGGCCTCTGCTGCTGCTGCCACCACCATCGTTCACATCAATATACTCATCAACTGCGCATTCGACTATTCGTGCAAAACCTCCAATACCTCCTCGCGGGAGTTTGTGCCATTCTGTTCCTCCTCCACTGACACGAAATTTAAGATCTGCTAGTGTCGCTTTGGCAAGATTTTCTGCTGCCGCCTTGTTGCAAACCTTCCACTTGCTTGCAAATTCCAATCTGAAAGGATTCCCAGCAACAAGATCTCGTCTTCGCCGAAGGGGATCGTTTTAATAACCCACCTTAACGAGTGGTGGTGGGAAGATCCCCGCGTCACTCCCCACCCTTTTAATGATATATACATTAACCAGGATCAGTTGGCTGTGACCTAAGAGGCGGGCACTTAGAGCCAGTTCCCTCGGATTCTGGACAACGTGGATTACTCCTTCTTCCTTTCTTGCGGTCGGGCGAACCGTTGTTGTCGCCACCGTTCTTGTTTTGCCGCCGTTGTGTCCGTGTTTTTGTCCGGTTCGTCTTCCGGAGCGCTTACTATATGTTCTGCGATTGAGAACTGTTCTTTTGTTAGCTTCTTCTTCGGCGGATTCTATAGAACCCTTCCGCGGCATCCACACCAGCTTTGTTAGAAAAGAAAAGAAAAACTGTAAAATCCTGATTTTTTGGACCCCTTGCATATGGAAAATAAATAAATAGGTTCGAAAGATCGAAACACCGGAATCTGAAAAAAAAAAACAACAACAACTGGTGAATGGCTGTAAAAGGGAAATCACTTTTCATTTTGTGGCTTAATATTTGGGGGCTGTTACGCTGGTAAATTGGCTTTTTGAAAATTGATTTTATGTGGTACTTTTGTTTTTTTTAGCTTAAATTGTTGCTTGCTCTTTAAAGTAAATTGTTGCTGCGGTTGTTTTGCTGAACTTGTCATCGTGTGGTGTTGCTCCTGCAGGCATTTGTTTGAATATTGTTTGATAAATCCTTGAAAACAAAAAAAGAAAAACCAAGTGGGTGTTGTAATTATTGATAAATATTGTTAAATTTTGTGTATGAGATCATTAAGTTATTTACATAGTAATTGAACACAACTGAGATGGGTGAAGTATATAAATTCACAACTATTAATTTACAATTTAAGTATTCCATAATGAATTAGGTGAAAAGGGAAATAATTATAGTGTTTGCAATTAAATAGTTAGATATAATAGTAATTAAAAGGAAAGTGGCTTAATATTTATCTAATAATCTTTTAGTATTAATAATAATTATATTATTTAAGGAGAAAGCAAAAAAAAAAGCTACATTAACATGAATAAAAGAATGGCATTTATATTGGTAACAACTGTTTTGTTGTATGATTTAGTGTTTCATACTACTTGTTTTTTCCCTGAGCAATGCTATCCCGTTTGCATGGTGCATCTGGTGGCATCTGTTCTATACAGTCATGTAATAATGGCAGCTTTTGCAAAAGCTTTTTCCAGCTATTTCAAGGATGCCTTATTGTCTTTATATCCCATCAAACTCTTTCCAAATTGAAATTAAAATGGAAAAGTGTTATGGAGTAAGGCAAGAGTTAAACAGGCAAATTGATTCCAATTTATGTGTGCTTCAATGGGTACTGTTACTGGTGTTTTGCTTGTGTTTGCAGCACCTAAAAATGTCATCTCGCTTTTCTATCCAGTTTCTTTTATTCAACCTTCACTTTCGTTTCTGGGATGCTTTCAATCCTTATCTTCATGAAATGGGAAAAAATGTACAACACTTGTTCAAAGAAAATTGTCAAGTACAGCCATACATTAAATTCTTTGTTGGAGATGTTTTTTTTCCCTTCTGTTGTCATTATAAGATTAGTTTTACATTTCCTTGAACCTCTTTATAAGAGTTGCTTGCAGATCAAATCTAAATGCAGATTTTCTTTTGTGCATTAATTATTTTTGGAGTCTAGCATCCAAGATTTTTCTCTTTTTGGTTGTGGTTACATGCCTTTTACTGTATTACAGCATCTTGTTGAACCTTTCTCCAACTCGAACTCTGGCAGTGGGCCATTCAGTTCCCTTTTACTTAGCAGCCACTGTCCTCATTCTGACTCTACCCTGTGAATTTCTTGCAGTTTCTTATTTGGTAATCTCAACAACAGTTGGCAAGAGCTTTGATGCTAACTCTGTCTATCCCACAGATCTTCTCCTGTTGTTGCCTTCTTTGAATATTATCTTTGGCATGTTATTAATTGGTAATCCTTGTATAAAACTGGTTGAATATCATCACCCTGGCTTTTGCTTTGGTATGGTGTTCAGGTCAAAAAGGTTTGTTACATCTATTTTAGTTATTGATGTAACAGGGAAATCACACTCTTTTACCTCTGCTCCACATGGAATGGTCTTTGACTTGAAATCACACATTAATTTAAAATTCAACATAACAAGTGATTTATACTGGCTTTCAAATAAAGGTAAACCTTTACAACATGACTTTGTGCCTTTACAGGAAATATCAATTCGGGCTGTTTTAATGAATGGGCGTTTAACTGGAGGTGCAAAATGTTGCATTAAGGGGTGCGAAAATGATGTTAGCATTCGAAAATGTGACAGCTTAGGGAGCATTCATTTTTTAGAAGGGCGGGTGGGCAGGACGAATTCAGGGGAGGGTCATTAACTTTTTGCCTGCCCAAAAAGGGAGGGTCAGCATAAATTTGACACAACAAAGAGGGGGGGTCCCTTAATCTTTTTTTAATATTATACAAGTTTATACAAACTGATCTTTGAACCCTTAACGTTACAAAGCTAATTTGAGACTCAAATGAACTTTGTGCCACTGAAATGTATAAAAGCCCCAGTCGCACCAACTGAATTGATTATTAGATGACAACAACAACAACAGCAACAATTTTTAATATCTGAAAGAAACTGTTAAAGAGAAGTTTGGTTAACACAGACTGGTTGTTAAAATAATGTCACAGTTCCATGTCTGTCACTGATCAGAGTGAGAGTCACTTAGGCTCTCACTATCAGATAAGGCCAAGGATGGTGGTAAGGAATCAGAAATGTAGGCCTTAGCAGCTTCTGAGAATCGGTTGTCTGACTTGAGTGTCTCATGCAAAACCTTTGCCTCCCTTCTTGATAAACTTACTAATGCTGCAATGAAAATGTCTTCCACCCCAATAGTTATATCAACGTTGTCATGGTTGACCCTTGGTAAAACCTTTTGCAGAACTCTTGTTTTTGCATTCTCCATCCTGGCTAACTTTCGTTTGATACCTTTCCTTTTGTTTTGCTTCCTCTTTCGAGCTTTGGAGGTAGATGGCTTGAAGACCAAGCCCTTGAATGTGCTCTGTAACTCCTTTAGCTTTTTATCAACCTGAGCCATAAATGCTGAAGCGTTTTGAGCTAGCTCATTAAGCTTGTTCACTGTAGCAGAATTAAAGTCATGGTGAATAGATTTCCCAGGAGAAAGGCACCTACCACTCTTATCAAAAAGGCCTTGATCCATGGCTACCACTTCGTTTTTGAGCTTCTTTACTTCAGTTTTCAAGCTAGTGAGCTGATCCAAATGTTTAGACAAAACAGCTACATCACTGGCTCTTGGAATATATGAAGTGGTAAAATACTTTCCACATGCAGCTGGATTGTCTCCTTTTTTGAAATCCAGTTTCTGTTGCAGTGTCCCCACCTTTATGTTGGTTTCGTATTGTTGGCTTCTCTCTGTCATGAACTGGTTTCTGAAATAGTTATCTGAATTGCAATAAGGCCAGACTGCCTTATAAAACTTGGGTAGAAGTTCCATATATGCTATTGATCTTTCACCTTTTGGAGAGGGAATATAGCCTTTTGATTTCTTTTTCCATGGTTCTCCAAGGACTTTGTCGATCCAAGATAAAAAAACTTTGGCTAGCTTTGGGTTTATCCCCGACTGCAGTGTTATTACTTTTCCCCTGCTTTTCCTTTGACTTTCGAACTGCTAATGCAACTTTCTTCCTCTGCCCAAGTAGGGGAATCTCTGTTGAAAATTCTACTGAGAGCACATCGATTGAGGATAGATGGTGAGCCTGCACCAAACGGTTTTCTTGGTGCAATTGTTTCAGAAAAGCCTGGTGAAGAATTTTTTTACAATAAGGAATATCTATCTAAGTATAACAACACTTCAAAGTCAAAGCGACATGTAATACCTGGACATGCCTATTTTAATAGAGTTGAATCCTTTTTTGAGTCACATTACGAAAGGGGAGAGCTCTATTTTGAATTTCTAAAAGGAGATTGTTCAAGAAAGGGAGAACTGTGTGAGACATGTAGGGAAAATGGGTTATTATAATATTTTTCAATACTGCTAGAGCACAGAACTGGGTGACAGATAATCCTTTTAATGACCAAAAACCAATCTGGTGGCTGTCGGATTACCCCCACATGATTAAAAAATTGAGGAACTTCATTGTCAATCCAGATGGGCAATTAGAAAAATATGGTAAGAAAATAACAGGTGATCATTTAATACCAGTAGTAAAACGCCAGCTTACTAAGCTAAACTGGAAACATTTGAAGTTAACAGCTAGAACTAAAATTAGTGTTAAAAGGGCTGTTACCTTTGCTCCAATTAAGTATCATTAGACATCCTCAAGGGACCTTTACCTCCTGAAGAAACAGTTGCAACACGCACATACATAAAGCAGAGTGCAACAAACTGTTTACAATATTTAACAACTAATGAGAGGTTGATCCAAAGTGTTATAAAGAACTGTTAAAAATAATGCTCTGGTTTGATGAATGGTATAAAGAGACCAGACAAGAAAGTACAAGGGCAACCAATGGTCTAAAAAAATCACTGGAAAAATTTATACCAAGGATCACATTTGATGACCTAAAGAGAAGCATCAGAGCTTTTCTGGGGGTAGCTCAATATGTTCAAATGCATCATCCAGAATTACTCCTCATTCCAAAGACCATGTGTCAGGATGATGTTGAAAATTATTTCTCTTTACAGCGAGCAGGGTATCCGGAGGAAAACCAACAACGTTACAGTTGTTTGAGTCATCAGCTTCTCTGGAAACTGAACTTCTTCTATCTGCTGAAATGACAGATACACAAGGAACATGCGGTTCATATGATATGACAGCCCTTCCTAATCTGGTTTCTATTCCCCTGATTAAACCAAAACAAACAGCCCCTGACAATTTGAACTATTTTAGTGAAAAAGAGGGATGGGAATTAGGCTATGATGACCAGATGACGTCTGCTTGTGTAGCTGAAGGCACATGGGACTTTGTTGATGAAACCTTCCATGATTCTGCTGACAAACAACAACTATCTCGACATGTCAAGCAAACTGTTGAACGTATTGATCTTTTCTCATCTGCTACCATCCTACAAACATGTCAACCTATTTTGACAGCCTTAAATGCAAATAAGAACCATCAACATGTATTACTCTTTGCAAGGAAACTTGACTACCATCTGCATACTAAGTTTTTTACAGGAAGTTGGTCTAACAATTTCCTTCAAAAAGCCATCAATCAACTCAAGGTTGACAAATACTTCCTTTTGTTTGGAAAAAATTATTACAAAACATCTTAATTCCAGAATCAGAAATCAAGCTCTCAAGTCAGGTTCTTTCTGCTTTTGTAAGAAAATTCAGAAAAAGAAGGTGTGTAACCTACTTAGCTAGAGATGTCCTTGCACCAAAGCATGAAGAGGATGCATCTGCTGTGCGGCAAATGCTACAAAAGTTCACCCACAAAGCTTATTCAAACACAACATCAAAAGCACAATCAGGCGACATTTGTTTTCGGTGGGAAAAACAAGGTCACTGGGCAAATGAATGCCCTGAAGGACACGAACTAGAGTGGCTGGCTAATCAAAACTGCTTTTTATGTGGAAAAAAGGGCCACCTTAAAGAAGCCTGTCCAAACAAAATTAAAAAAGACGATCATTTTAAACCAAAACTTGAGGAAAATAAGCCCCCAGCAGTAAAACCGTCATGGTACCAGAATAGCACATCACTCATAAAATTGCTTGGTAATCTTTCTGTGAAGTGATTTCAAATGCTACAAATCACTATCTTCCAAGACTTCAGTTCACAGTGACCCAACATTTCACAAACAAAAAACTGCTGAGTGGTTCACTGTTCGTAAGGGGGAAAATCAAAGGAAGCAAAGCAGCAACAGCTCTTGGTTGGTATGGGAAAAAGGCAAAGAATGATTACTGGAATGATTTGAGTAATGATTTACATGCAGGTGTTCCGACCAAAGAAGAGAATGAATCAAATCTGGCAATGTTATGGGGTTCTATCAATGAAGACAGTGCTCTTGTCACTTACCTAAAATAAAGATGATTTAGTTTTAAGAGAAACTGGTATTTGGCTTTTAAGTGATGAGAAAAATCAGTCATGGCTTGGTTCTTCACCAGATGGCATAATAGAGTTAAATGGCAAAAGGAAAAAGAATTCTTGAAATGAAATGTCCTTTCATGGGAGGCAAACCAATTCCTTACAAAAATTATGTTGGAAATGTTTTGTACATCCACTCAAGGATGTCACTATGTTGTTTGGACTCCAATTGGCACCAAAGTACTTCTTGTTAAGAGAGATGACAAGTACATAGAATTGCTAATAAACTACGTGTACAAACTGTGGAATCTTGCCTTGAATGAGATACAACCTGCATGGCATGAAGATGTATTTGGTCTCAAACAAAAAAGCAAGGAAATTACCACAAAAAGTCCCTGTATTAATAAGTTTTATACCTAACTCTCTTACTACCCCAAATGTTTTGTGCCATGGTGATTTGAAGAAGTTTTAGACGATAGACTGCGGAGTGAAAGAAGTCCAGAAAAGGTGCATTTCTCGAAAAAGTCAGGGTTGTAAATATGAAGAATGGAGATGCAAACTCAACGCTTGCGAGGTACGCAGAAAGAGTTTAAATAGGTCCCAATTAAGCTGTAGTACAACAACCATCTTATCAATCTTATAAGTATGGCTCTAATGGAGTACACAATAGCTATCATCAAGACAGTTTCCTTGAAATGACCTATCACAGTTTCACGCGTCATTATATTTCTCCTGATGTAAATATGTCACAGGGCCGGGCTTTACTTCTTTACTTGATTCCTTTGTATTAAGGGAAAATGGAAAATTTCATGAAAGTAAAATGACATTGTGAAAGTGGCTAAGGGACGAAACATCAAATGGTCATACTTATTAAAGCCCTTGGCAAAGAAGCTGCTCTTGCTTCGATCATATACAGACTTCTTGAATCTATGCCTGAAGTTCTTCAACTGAAATTTTCACTCAAAACACACTAATTCGCAATCATGTAGTAATGACCATAGCCATGACTCATTCTGCACCTTCAGGCATAGTGTGTTCCCAGTCAGTACTTATGATGTATTAGACGAACATCTCTTTGGAGACTCCAGAGAATTTGATATTATTCAGGTGATAAAACACAAACTCACAATGAGAAATTTTATTCCAGCGTCAAAATGTACTGTTTTGATGCAAAAAAGATTCAAGTAATGTAATGGAAGTCTCTGATTGTGCTATCATGAGTGATCCTATGACTTGTGGAACAGGGGTACAACAAGCAACAAAGTTAATAAACCAACCTGACCTATTTTTTTGTTGGGTACATAAGTAATTCTACAATAGGGTACACACTCAACTTGGACAAGGAACACAACTCAATTCTTATTCATAGCTGTATGTATAAATTGTCTGGCATTGTTTATCTCAAATCGCATCACTACTGGTGTGAAGTATATTCTACCCAAAAAGGTTACAAACAGGGTAGGTATGTTTACAATGGTCTATGGAACAGCGGTAGAGCAAGCTTTGTTGGACCAATTCTTGAAAAAGACAGTTTGTATCCTTTAATGTTTGAAAGAGTTGCAACACAAAGCACATTTACCAGTGGAGTCGCGTTTAACCGACCCAACTGTTCAAATGATAATCTAGTAGTAAAACAAATAATTGAAGTGCACAAAAACTTGCTGATGCTAAGAGACAACAAGGCTAGCCGTACAAACATCATGGCTATTCTTCAACACTACAATATCCCTACACAAAAATCAAACAAGAAAATAGTAGACCTAAATGAACTGTTACTGAAACACTGCCACTCATTTTTAAGTGTGCCTATAACGTTTGTACCTGATTGTAGCATTGAGAACTACTCTGAGGCTCCTGAACAAAAGAAATCTACTCTACCTGATAAACAACTAAATGAGTTTGTTCCTCTAGCTTATGTAAATGACTCCATGGTTAACCTCGTCAAAACACAAGAAAATGAAGCAGAAACTCCAGGATCTACACAGCTTGACTTAAAGCCATGAAATATGGTTACATGCATGAAACACATGTACCCAGACGAAAACGCGGTAAAGTGATCATGCCGCATAATGCAACCAAAAAACTGAAAACTACAGTGAGACGTGACAGTAAAGAAGATAGAACCATGCATGAGCAATCAACAAAAGTTCAATTGTGTACAGAAATGCCTTCTAGTGATAGTGAAGAAGACTTTGAAAGTGATTTTAATCCGTCAGACAGTTAAGAAAATTTTTTTCAAGATCAAGCGCAGTATGTCTGAAAATGAAAAGTAAATGCCTTTTGCAAAACAATACAATCATGTCTGATTGGTTTGGTTTGACCAAACATGACAATAAAAATTAAATCAGAATACATGTATGGCACACAGTAGTGAGATCAGTGACACCAAACTGCAAAGATGGGAAACGATCATGATCATGCACTTGGATCAACATATTTTAAGCTTTTTGGAAAAGGGATGTCAAGAGGTCCTGATCTGCATCTTGGCCAAGCTTACGGCCACAAAAAAACACATTAGCTGTCAAAACATGTCCCTCCTCTGAAACAGCTCTATGTTAGTTGACATCGTGACAAACAACACACAGTACACCACAATCTGTACTAATCTACACCCAACTGGCGAAATTTAATTCCTTACACCACTGGACGTTTCATTCCCAAAAAGTACCAAAGTCTTGTTTTCTGTGACTATAGGGATCTTCAAATCTCGAAATCCAAGAAATCGGAACAGTATTTCCATGATAAAATGGAAATTTTTATCCGTCTCTTCGATGAACACGTTGCTCGCCATTTTGAAAGTCACTGACGCGAGACGTGACGTCATACTGGTAGGCGGACTGTACCACAGATTTCCTTGGAGACACCTTCCCTCCCCCCTCCCCGGTTTGACAAGCATGACCGGCTGTTTCGAATCTTACGATTCTCATCAGTTGCTATGTAGTTGGAAGGTTGAGGTTAACTATGAACCATTCTGTATTGCTAGATTTCCTAGGGGTATTAAATACCGACCTTGATTTGTTTGGAGGATGGAAAGTGGTGTGGTATGATTGGCTCCTTGCTAGCCAATCAGGTTGCTGTAGGTTCGATCCATTCTGTCCAAAAGCTTGGGTTCGGTTTTTCTAAGATTAAAATATGAAAAATCGAAGTCTTGCGATGTAAAATTTAAAGGCATACCGTGGTAATATATATTATGTCTAGTTGTTCTTCAAACATCTGAGAAAAGAAGTTGTATAGTTTTGTTAATTTCGTGCAAGACTTCTTGCGTGTACGTTTGTGTACTGTACAAAATTCAAATGCGTTGTTTTCGAGTGGTTTTCACTGGCACAGCAGGGCACTGTCTGGCAAAAGTCAACATGAGAAAATGCAAGGCGTGACAGGCTGCACATCTATACTGGCGTGAAATCTTCTGTTTACCTTTTATATTTTAGCCCTAACGAGCATGTCCTTTAGGGATTTTCCTTTCTTGCAGGAAATGATAGGTGGTTCTTTAAAAATTTGGCGAGCTACTGTTCTTATTAAAAGATCCGTTTTTTACAGAATTTCCATCGAGTTATCACAGTTAGGGAAGTAATGAGATAAAGATGGCGCCTAAATGAAAAGCGAAGTGAGTTAGCAAAAGTTTAACATCCACCATTGAGGTTCTCCTTGAGAAAGTTGAACGCAGTAACACGCTGCGTACTGCTTACGTTAATTACTTTTCCAAAACATTGAGTCTCATCTCGGCAAGACACGACCCTCAATAAAGCGAAAATTCCAATAGCTTTCTCTTCAAGCGGAAGTAGTCGCCTAAGTTGAAGCTTAAACTAGTCACTGATTCGCTTAGCTTGAGTGCTAGTTGCCACTCATTCCATACGGACGTCGCTCTATATTCGTAGGACTTTTGGCCACCAGTAGTAGGAAGTACTGGTATGCTTAACATTTCAGAGTTCATGGTTGTCCGGCTGATTTTTTTGCGAACTTTGATGTTAAGTACGCTGGCCGGGCACACCCGGTCATACAATTAAATACTAAAACAGCAAGTCGAAATTATAGGTCGTTGCTTGGCTGGGAGCCAGCGCAAGCCTTTTAAAAAATGACTGAAAAGTGTGGTGAAATCCAAGGGTCGAGTTAGCGGGGAGTTCGAGTTATCCGAGTTCAAGTTATCGGGATTCTACTGTATATCTGACTGAATTTGTGTAAACATGGCTTCGGTGAGTGTCTATACTAAGTGTGTCCTTGGTGCCAAGACAATTTTGACCCTCCTCACCCTGGACAATGGGTGACTGTCTGCGCCTCCCACTGAGCTTTGCAATTATCATGGTAATCATTCAAAGCCTGATTCAGCTGGCTAGGGCAAATTAAAAACAAGGTACTTGCCAGTCAAAGCCTCTAATGAACACGGCTGCTTACTAAAGGGGTTGTGCCAAAACAGCACCCTCCCTACGCCACATGTTTTGACCTTACGGCGTGATCCACCCACCCACTGTTAGGGCAGTCCTTGGGCTATTCAGCTGTACCGACCAAGACGGTAGGCCCCCTACTTTTTTGGACTCCAGACTAGCCTGGAGCCGGGCTGCGCCTGGCGCCAGGCGTAAACCTAGTGGCCACGTTTTAACGAAATCAGAAAGATGTATATGTCCCGTATTGTGTCACGTTTTTTTGACTCAAAGTTCCGCCAGTGTGGGATTGTTTCAAAATCTACAGAGGAACCTCCATGTAGCTCCATGTGTGACCTCCCTTCGTAAGCGACCACCAAAGCTTCCTAAGCGAAATGACACCAATTAAAGACACGAAAAACGTTTCAGTCAAAACCTAATAGTTGGAAACCTCTCGTAACCGACCGTATGCTACGAGCCGTCTCCCTTTTTTTCTTAGTCCGTCGAGCGACACGCAAGACACGCAAATGACCATGCATGTGGCTGAAGGTGTGATACTGAGAGCCTCGTTTCTCGCGCGCTCGCGTGCACTCTCCTCACTGAATTTGGAGAAAAATACCGGAGACTGCTCCCAGTAGAAAGCGACCGCGACCACCTTTGTGGGTGACGATCTTATAATTTTCCATTGCGGAGTTGCAAGCTCTTGTAAGCGAGCGTTTGACTCTATGTTGGTTCTATGCTCTCATTGAACTACTATAGTGTGGTCATTGAATACTGTCGTGGTTATTGAACTGTTGTGTGGGCACTGAAATGATTGTCTTATCACTAAAACAAGAAAAAAATTTTAGAGTGGATTCATTCAGAGTTTCCTGTCAATGATTAAAAGGTCTTAAAACTATTTCGGCAATTCTCCACCTTCACCTTAAAATATCATTTACAATTATATTTGACATGCAACATATTTCCTTTGAGATCTTGTCTCCATTTTGTGTTGTTATGTCCGTAATTTGTGGCCATTTTTGCGGCTGCTTGATTAGGGGCACGATTAATGGACGACACAACTAAGCCACGGTCTCCCTCCTCTTCCGACTCTTCATCCTCTACAATATAATCCTCAATTGCTTCTCTAACTATTCCTGCAAATGCACCTATATTATCTAATCCACCATCGACTCAGAACCATTCTGTTCCTCCATCACAATTAAGGCGAAGCCCTCTTTTGTCCAGTTCCTCGTGGGCCGCATCTTCCGCTTCCTTCATGTTGGAAACCCACCAGGTATATACACATGTCAGTTCGTGAGGATTTCCAATATTCAGAGTCCTTCTTCGTTGATCGCAATCGCTTGAATAGCCTACCTTCGCAAATCGTGGCGCACTGTGGCCTTCGCAGTCCTCCATAATCATGATAAAAATATAGCCAGGATCAGTTGGTTGCACTCTGGCACTTGATCTGGCCTCATCTCCGGTGGGTTGTAGCCATTCGGTGGAGCTCACATCTGTTTCGTTGTAAGGAAAACAAAAGCAACACGATTTTCTTACTTTAAAATTCCGAAACATCGGGAGTGTAGAGTAGAAGTGAGTTTGGTTCAATTAATCAGGATCGAAATTTTTTAGGCTCGACAATAGTTTCTAAGAGTCAATTTTTTAGGTGCGCAAGTACCCTCTAACTCTAAAGAAAAAGGCTCGTCTAGTCTCTTTTTTTGTTTATAAGAAGGACTCGGCTACTAATCACACTGATGCGGTCGTTGCCATGGAACGCTGTATATCGGATATTCCTACACAGTTCGTGGATGCTTACGGATAAGCTCAAACTTAATGATGACAAAACTGAGTTCATGTTGATTGGTACAAAACAGCAACTTTCCAAAATAAATTTTGATAGCCTTACCGTAGGAAGCATTGACGTTGCTCCTGTCACTGTGGCAAGAAATTTAGGGACATGGTTCGATTCTAACTTGAATCTCCAAGAGCAGATCCACAATTCCTGCAAATCTGGGTTTTTCCATTTATTCAATATTCGGCGTATCCGAAAGTATCTGTCCCAGGAATCAGCACGCACTTTGGTCCATGCTTTTATCATTGGTCGTATAGATTACTGCATCAGCCTTCTCTTTGGTTTACCCGCTGTTCATCTACTTAAACTGCAACGCTTGCAGAATGCAGCTGCTCGGCTTATATCTAATGTTCCTCGCTACAGTCACATAACACCAGTACTATGATCGTTACATTGGCTTCGTGTCAAATTTGGTATTGATTTTATAATACTTCTTCTTACTTTTAAACCTATCTACGGTTATGCGCCTGGTTACTCAATTGATTTGATCGCTATTAAAGAACAGCCGCGCGATAATTTCCGCTCAGCTAGCGGCCTTATATTAAAGTATCCCGGTTTAAAACTGGAAAAGACTTTCGGGGACCGTGCTTTTTCATCTGCTTCCTCTAATTTATGGAACAATCTACCATTCGACATCCGTTTTGTGGACAATTTCGAACGATTTAAATCTTTACTTCAAGGTTTTGAAAGCCTGCGGCGCAGACATTTGAAAAGGAAAGGAAGGGCGGTTTTGGACGCGATGGGAAACGCGAGGGGTGCGTAAGGAAACTGTCCGGTAGTTCTAGCCACTTCTTTGGGTTCCGATTCCTACTGTGTTGGCCGTGAATGCTCCAACTGCAGCACCGGTAGCGTAGCACTTGAATTTGGTCACTTCGAACTTTTTTTCTTATACGCGCCGATCAAGGAATTTTGACAAAATCTTCGTAAAAAAAATCTGCTTCAAACTTTTTTTGTTTAAATAAACATTTTAAAGCCTAAAATTGCTTATTCTAATAATATTTTTCTACTAAATAACAACAAAGCTTATGATGTATAAGCCTCATGGTTGCTTTGGCTATCATTGCCAATTTTTTCTTACAATCGTAAAAATTTCATTTAGTGGAAATAAACAGTGATAATAATAATAATAATAATAATATTTTTTTAAGAAAAAATTTTATTGACAACAATGCTAACTATTAAAATCCTATTTACAATTAATTCGCATGAAAAAAAGAAACTATTCATTCAAAACACTATTTACAATTCCTGTCGATTTAAAAAGCACTTAATTTAGCTTAGAAAGAGTTAATTTAACTAAGAAAAATTTATTCGAATTAAAAACATTTCATTTCAATAAAAAAACTGCCAGCCTCTAAAATTCAAAAGTTTCTTTCAAATGCTTAAATAATAATAATAATAATGATAATCACAAAAAAGTGCTCAAGTAAAATTTATATTTACGCGAAAAAAGGAAAGAAAGCTTACCAATGTTCAGACGATTTCTTTTCTTTACCTCTTGATGGTCCGGGATGGAATGAAGCTAAAAATTGACGACATAGCCCTTTTTATGTCGGGGTTTCCTAACCTCAATGACCTTAATTCATGATGGCAATTAAACAATTAACTGTGCATGTATAACTATTTTTCACGAAATGCACAACAGGCCTACAGTGACAAACTAAACAATAATCTCTATTGCAAGACCCATGGTGTAAAAAAAAAAAAGAAAAATTGAAGAATATGATACCAATTTCGCAAGAAGTTTGTAGTAGCTAAAAACCTTATCGAGTGGACTGCGTGTCGGTGTCCGATATGACTTTTTAATCCAAGTTCAGTCTGTGGTAAATACTGTGACTGGTGCCCTATTTTGTCTGGAACTCAATGTTTTTCTAAGATAATTGTTCTTCTAAAGAATTTTTGAGTGACATTTTGTTATATAAGGTTTTTTAAGGGAAATTTTGTAAAAGTCATTCTAGATGCATTGGTTGAGCTGATACGCTGGCACTTTCCAATCCGCTTGTCGTGTCTTTATCATATTTTCTCATGTATTTTAGTTATTTTTTATGACATAGGCATTCAGGGTTGTGTATACGTTAGGTAGCTACTCACCTGTTCTTTTTTTCGGGGAGGAGGCGTCTGTACACAGGCTAATCTGAAATTAAAGTGTTCAGGATAAAGAAAAACAAACAAACGAAAAAAAGCCAAATATGATGATTAAACAGACTAAAAAATAGACATAAGCATTAACTGAAAAGGTACAATCACTGCAAGTCATGTATTAAACTTAAGACGAAACCCATCAGGAAATTGTCAATGAGTAATTTCAATGTTTCAGTGGACAAAAACCTTGTACCAGAACAATTTAATAAACAATATCGCGTTCTTTTTTACATTTCCCAAGGGCTATAGATATTATAATTAGTTTTCTGTAATAACACCAAAGACTGTTTTGTCAAATTTCACAAGAATTCTGAAAGACAGGTAAAATTCTGAAAATTTCATGATTGTGTAAAATGTCATTTTGTGAAAGTTGACACTCATTCAAAAATTCCTTATCTTAGTTTTTCTGGTACCTAATGACTTCAAGGCCCCGGAGTTTCAATTTTAATTAAAATGTTTAACTTTTTAACTTTTTTCACCTATTCGACAACAACATAATAGTGACAAACTAAACAATAATTTCTGTTGCGGTGTGTTAACAATATAAATATAAAGTTGTTAGTAGTAATTTACAAATTTGGGCGAGAAGCTTGGAAAAGTTGAAAAGCTAATCGAAAGGATTGTGTGCCAGTGCTGATCATTTGACAGCTGCCTCTCTTTACACGTAAACAAACCTTTATTTTATTATCTTTTAAATTAACTGACTGTTAAATGACTGTTCTTCATGAAACATGAACGTTTTTGTTCTTGTGCACGGTTGAGCTAATATGGTTCATTCCCTTTCAAATGTGATAATTTCGTCATATTTTTTCTTTTTCTTACTGATTGTATTATTCAATACATGCAAATTTAACCATATTTAAGGTTAAGACTAGCTGTAATCTCTATGACAGGGTTAAGGGAAAAAAGAAAGTTTCATGAAATTACAAATTTTGCAATAAATTTGGATTAGCTACTGGAGTCGACGGTGCCGATGTCAGCTCTGCTCAGTGCAAATCATTTTCACGCACTGACCCCGAATATTGGATGACTGGTGCCTCTAGCTCTTTCTACTAAGTTTTACTTCATATTGTTTTTAAAGCTAAGGGCCACTTATTCAAACAGATTTTAGCCTGTGTTTAACAAAACCTTGTTCTATTCCATTTTCAGTTTGTCCAGCGCTTTTATCTAAACACCATTTATCGTGAGCAATTTCAATAAAGCATATAGCATAGACTGGAAAAGCACATGTTTCAAACCTCAGGTTTCATCAGAGGAAAAAAAAACCCTTCGAGGGCTCGCGTTTGTGGTAACCGCTGTAAGGTCGGCCTGTTCAGACGATTTCTTTTCTTTACCACTTGATGGTCCGGGATGGAATGAAGCTAAAAATTGACATAGCCCTTTTTATGTCGGGGTTTCCTAACCTCAATGACCTTAATTCATGATGGCAATTAAACAATTAACTGTGCATGTATAACTATTTTTCACGAAATGCACAACAGGCCTACAGTGACAAACTAAACAATAATCTCTATTGCAAGACCCATGGTGTAAAAAAAAAAAGAAAAATTGAAGAATATGATACCAATTTCGCAAGAAGTTTGTAGTAGCTAAAAACCTTATCGAGTGGACTGCGTGTCGGTGTCCGATATGACTTTTTAATCCAAGTTCAGTCTGTGGTAAATACTGTGACTGGTGCCCTATTTTGTCTGGAACTCAATGTTTTTCTAAGATAATTGTTCTTTTAAGAATTTTTGAGTGACATTTTGTTATATAAGGTTTTTTAAGGGAAATTTTGTAAAAGTCATTCTAGATGCATTGGTTGAGCTGATACGCTGGCACTTTCCAATCCGCTTGTCGGGTCTTTATCATATTTTCTCATGTCTTTTTTAAGACATAGGCATTCAGGGTTGTTTAATCGTCAGGTAGCTACTCACCCGTTCGTTTTTTAGGGGAGAAGGCGTCTGTACACAGGCTAATCTGAAATTAAAGTGTTCAGGATAAAGAAAAACAAACAAACGAAAAAAAGCCAAATATGATGATTAAACAGACTGAAAAATAGACATAAGCATTGACTGAAAAGGCACAATCACCGGAAGGCATGTATTAAGCTTAAGACGGAACCCATCAGGAAATTGTCAATGAGTAATTTCAATATTTCAGTGGACAAAAACCTTATACCAGAACAATTTAATAAACAATATCGCATTCTTTATAACATTTCTCAAGGGCTATAGATATTATAATTAGTTTTCTGTAATAACACCAAAGACTGTTTTGTCAAATTTCACAAGAATTCTGAAACACAGGTAAAATTCTGAAAATTTCATAATTGTGTAAGCTGTCATTTTGTGAAAGTTGACATTCATTCAAAAATTCCTTATCTTAGTTTTTCTGGTACCTAATGACTTCAGGCCCCGGAGTTTCAATTTTTAAAAAACCGGTCGTTGGGTAACCCTGCCAAACTGTTTTTAGCTATTATAGAAAAATAGTAAATAGGGACAATTAACTAAACAACGCCGGGGGATCTCTTGTAGCTTCTTGTTGTATAATTTAAAATATAGTTATAAAGAAAAGTCGAGAAAATTCGAACCTAGAAAATGAAGAAGTTACGAATAGATGCAAATCGGTTTGCTAACTTGGTGAGAGGTGCCTCTAGATCTATATATCTACGAATCTTAAGTCTGCCCGGAGTTTTGAAAACCGGGTTCCTTGAAATCTTAAGTCAAGTCCAGCACATTGCAGGCAATCTGTCAAAGCATAATTTACTTAATTCAAGCCGTGATGATTTTAAGGTAAAAACAAAAAAACTCCCTCTCCAGTAGGACTAACCACCCACCCTCAGCTCTTAACCATGGTCTCCAGATAACCTCCTGGAATTGTCAGAAATCAGTGGAAATTCCAGAAAACATGCACGAGGGGGGTGGTTTTTTTTTGAGGGGGCCTTCTTTCAAGCTAAGTGTCTAGTTGTTGCACAGACACAGGGCTATCATCTGGTATGCATTTGGAGTGTCGTGGTTAAATTCCATGGTGGTGGGGTTGTTCTAAAGAGAAAGCTTTGTGTTAGACTGTGGATTTGCTGAGATTTTGTACAGGGACTTATCCCTGTTTTTAAAGCTTCGTGTCTCTCTCAAAATGAGAGAGGTTTGTGTCTATAGCTGAGTTTCATGTTGTTGCGCAGTCTCAGCGCTATCGTCTAGTATACATTTCGGATAGCATGGTTAAATCCCAGTGGGTGGGGCTGTACTCATAAAGAGCAAGCTTTGTGTTAGAGAGTAGATTTGCTGAGTTTTTTTTTCCCGGCGCTTATCACTGTCTTTCAAAGCTCAGTGTTTCCCTCAAATTGACTCAGAGCTATTATCTGGTATACATTTTGGGTAGCCTGGTTAAAAAGTTGATGTGTTTTCGTATTGTTATGCACAGGGTTTTTGTGCTGTTTGCATGCAAGCAATGACCCACACTGTTGATAACGTGGAAATGGCTTTGCAATCGGTGACGCAATCGGTGACGCTAACACTAAAATTATCCCTTAAAATGCCATATTTTCCAGACTAACGAGGAAGCTTCTCTTTTGTTACCTTCAAGACAGACGTTTCGATCGAAAGGAAGCTCGTGTATTCAAGAATTTCTTTTTGAGGTGAGATTTTACTTTTTAAGTGAGAAGAGGCTTTAAATTACCAATCCGGTGCGAGAGACTGACATGTGCTAGGCCGGTTTCAAAATCCAGGTATAAGTTCATTGCACAAATTTCACCAAGGTGTCAGACTGTTTAATTGAATTATGATTATTATTCATTCAAAATATTTCCACAATTCTGATTGGATAAAAGCACATGCATAATTCACCAAAACCAGTCACTGATGACCAAATTTGGAAGAAATCCGTGTTAAGCGATGAAATGACGTCAAGAATGCAGCGCCGTGGGAACGATGCTCAGTTGTTTTGGTTGTGAAAATAAAAATGGCAAACACTTAACTCGTTTCAAGAGTAAGAACTACAGCTGAAACTAGGCGAAATAATAGCAAAAAACATAGCAAAAACAACAAGAAGAGAACTCGGAGGGCGACACTGTTTGGATAATATTTGCGGAGCTGGACGAACCTAAATGTACACTATCGAAGATGAACTTAACATCGATGCAGGTAAGCATGTTTTAGCTATGTTTTTTAAACTAATAATTAGTTTGAATGAATAACAAAGCTATTAATGAATTCGGCTTTAATAGGATATGAAGAATTAAGCAGATCTCGGAGGGTGTTATCCCTCCTGACGATCTGCTTAATTCTTCAAATCCTACTCAGCCTTATTCATTAATTGCTAATTAATAACTTTGGCAACTAATCAACATTCTTCATTGTAGGTTAAATGTAAATAAATGAAAATATTTCATATGTACTTATAAAAAAATTGGCAAGGAGTTTCAACTTAATGTGACTCCAACATTATGAGCCAGTTTTAGCTCGATGGAAATTCTGTAAAAAAAAAACGTCTTACCTGCTTGCGTCATTACAGAAATGGCCAGATAATTTTAGATTTTGGATTTTTATAAGTTCAATCATTCTAGCTTTCAACTGAGTGATTAAAATTTATTTTCAGCTCAAGTTTGGCGATACGAACAAATTTTTAGCAAATTGTCCTTCTGTTCGCACAAAAATCGAGTGATTTCCACGAAACTTTATATTCTACAGTTTTAGACTGTGTTAGTGTCATGTGTCAAGTTTAAAGAAAATCGTTCGGCTGTAATCTGCGCTACGAGATAGATCAGAAACTCAACCATAAAAACATAAACTTGACATTTCTTCTTGACCCGGCAACCTGATGTCGCGAGGCAAACGCCAATTTATAGTAAAATTGCCAAAAAACTGAATAGATTTATGCCATTTTTTTTCCCATTGAAAGGAAGCACTGTTCCTATTAAAAGATCCGTTTTTTACAGAATTTCCATCGAGTTATCATAATTAGGGAAGTAATGACATAAAGATGGCGTTTAAATGAAAAGCAAAGTGAGTTAACACAAGTTTAACATCCACCATTGCGGTTCCCCTTGAGAAAGTCGAACACCGTAACACGCTGCGTACTGCTTACGTTATGTACTTTTCCAAAACATTGAGTCTCATCTCGGCAAGACACAACCGCAAGCGAAAATTCCAATAGCATTTCTCTTCAGGTGGAGGTAGTCGCGTAAGATGAAGCTTAAACTAGTCACTGATTCGCTTAGCTTGAGTGCTAGTTGCCACTCATTCCATACTGACGTCGCTCTATATTCATAGGACCTTTGGCCACTAGTAGTAGGAAGTGCTGGTATCCTTAACATGTCAGACAGAGTTCATGGTTGTCCGGCTGATCTTTTTGCGAACTTTGATGTTAAGTACGCTGGCCGGACACACCCGGTCATACAATTAAATACTAAAACAGCAAGTCGAAATTGTAGGTTGTTGCTTGGCTGGGAGCCAGCGCAAGCCTTTTAAAAAATGACTGAAAAGTGGGGTGAAATCCAAGGGTCGAGCTAGCGGGGAGTTCGAGTTATCGGGGTTCTACTGTATATCTGACTGAATTTGTGTAAACATGGCTTCGGTGAGTGTCTATACTAAGTGTGTCCTTGGTGCCAAGACAATTTTGACCCTCCTCACCCTGGACAATGGGTGACTGTCTGCGCCTCCCACTGAGCTCTGCAATTATCATCATAATCATCCCAGGCCTGATTCAGCTGGCTAGAGCAAATTAAGAACCAGGTACTTGCCAGTCAAAGCCTCTAGTGAACAGTGCTACTTACTTAAGGGGTTGTGTCAAAACAGCATCCTCCCTACCCCACTAGTTTTGACCCCAGGGCGTGATCCACCCACCCACTGTTAGGGGAGTCCTTGGGCTATTCAGCTGTACAGACCAAGACGGCAAGCACCCTACTTTCTTGGACACCAGACTGGCCTGGAGCCGGGCTGCGCCTGGCGCCAGGCGAACACCTAGTGGCCACCGATATATATGTCCCGTATTGTGTCACGTTGTTTTGACTCAAAGTTCCGCCAGTGTGGGATTGTCTCAAAATCTACAGAGGAACCTCCATGTAGCTCCATGTGTGACCTCCCTTCGGAAGCGACCACCTAAGCTCCATAAGCGAAATAACACCAATCAAAGACACCAAAAACGTTTCAGTCAGAACTTTATAGTTGGAAACCTCTCGTAAGCGACCGTAGGCTACGAGCAGTCTCCCTTTTTTTCTTAGTCCGTCGAGCGACACACGCAAGACACGCAAATGACCATGCATGTGGCTGAAGGTGTGATACGGGACAGCCTCGTTTCTCGCGCGCTCGCGTGCACTGCCCTCACTGAATTTGGAGAAAAATACCGGAGACTGCTCTCAGTCGAAAGCGACCGCGACCACCTTTGTGAGTGACGATCTAATCAATTTTCCATTGCGGAGTTGCAAGCTCTTGTAAGCGAGCGTTTAACTCTATGTTGGTTCTATGCTCTCATTGAACTACTATAGTGTGGTCATTGAATACTGTCGTGGTTATTGAACTGTTGTGTGGTCATTGAAATGATTGTCTTATAATTAAAACAAGAAAATAATTTTAGAGTGGATACATTCAGAGTTTCTTGTCAATGATTAAAAGGTCTTAGAACTATTTTGTAAATTCTCCACCTTCACCTTAAAATATCATTTACAATTATATTTGACATGCAACATATTTCCTTTGAGATCTTGTCTCCATTTTGTGTTGTTATGTCCGTAATTTGTGGCCATTTTTGCGGCTGCTTGATCAGGGGCACGATTAATGGACGACACAACTAAGCCACGGTCTCCCTCCTCTTCCGACTCTTCATCCTCTACAATATAACCCTCAATTGCATCTCTAACTATTCCTGCAAATGCACCTATATTACCTAATCCACCATTGACTCGGAACCATTCTGTTCCTCCATCACAATTAAGGCGAAGCTCTCTTTCGTCCAGTTCATCGTGGGCCGCATCTTCCGCTTCCTTCATGTTGGAAACCCACCAGTTATATGCACATGTCAGTTCGTGAGGATTTCCAATATTCAGTGTCCTTCTTCGTTGATCGCAATCGCTTGAATAGCCTACCTTGGCGAATGGTGGCGCACGGTGGCCTTCGCAGTCCTCCATAATCATGATATAAATATAGCCAGGATCAGTTGGTTGTACTCTGGCACTTGATCTCGACACCCTCTTGTTGGCCTCATCTCCGGTGGGTTGTAGCCATTCTGTGGAGCTCACATCTGTTTCGTTGTAAGGAAAACAAAAGCAACACGATTTTCTCACTTTAAAATTCCGAAACATCGGGAGTGTAGAGTAGAAGTGAGTTTGGTTCAAATGATCAGGATCGAAATTTCTTAGGCTCGACAATAGTTTCTAAGAGTCAATTTTTTAGGTGCGCAAGTACCCTCTAACTCTAAAGAAAAAGGCTCGTCTAGTCTCTATTTTGTTTATATGAAGGACTCGGCTACTAATCACACTGATGCGGTCGTTGCCATGGAACGCTGTATATCGGACATTCCTACACAGTACGTGGATGCTTACGGATAAGCTCAAACTTAATGATGACAAAACTGAGTTCATGTTGATTGGTACAAAACAGCAACTTTCCAAAATAAATTTTGATAGCCTTACCGTAGGAAGCATTGACGTTGCTCCTGTCACTGTGGCAAGAAATTTAGGGACATGGTTCGATTCTAACTTGAATCTCCAGGGCAAGATCCACAGTACCTGCAAATCTGGGTTTTTCCATTTATACAATATTCGGTGTATTCGAAAGTATCTGTCCCAGAAATCAACACGCACTTTGGTCCATGCTTTTGTCATTGGTCGTATACATTACTGCAACAGCCTTCTCTTTGGTTTACCCTCTGTTCATCTACTTAAACTGCAACGCTTGCAGAATGCAGCTGCTCGGCTTATATCTAATGTTCCTCGCTACAGTCGCATAACGCCAGAACTATGATCGTTACATTGGCTTCCTGTCAAATTTCGTATTGATTTTAAAATACTTGTATCCCGGTTTAAAACTGAAAAAGACTTTAGGGGACCGTGCTTTTTCATCTGCTGCCCCTAATTTATGGAACAATCTACCACTCGACATCCGTCTTGTGGACAATTTCGAACGTTTTAAATCTTTATTTATAACACATCTTTTTAGACTAGCTTTTGACATGTAATGTTTTTAACCTACTATATAATAATATATTTAGTGTTTTTATCTTTATTTAATTTTTAGCGTTGTTTACTTTTGCCTTAATTATTTTGCTCATTTTAGTTTTTAACCTAGTAAGTAATATAGTTAGTGTTTTTATCTTTTATTTATTTTTAAACGTTGTTTACTTTAGTTAATTATATATTATGCTCATTTTAGCTTTTATTTTCGTCTAACATTTATGTCAGTTGTTACACGCTTTTGGTCATATTCTCATGGAAAAGGCGCGCTATAAATTTTTAATTAATGTTATCATCATCATCATCATCATCATCATCATCACCACCACCACCACCACCACTAAGGAAAGCAGGGTATGGCACCCGTATTTAATTTTATCTAATAACTAGAAGAGCTTCCCGGAGACAGTTCTTCCGACTTGACTCGTCATCAGCGCTGTTTAAGTTGTGTGTGAATGGTATTAGGAACTTTAACTTATTTTTACCTTTTACTCCATTTGTACTGACAGGAAAATTTCCATCCTTGACTATCGTCTTAAGCGAAACCCAAGACACCAGAAATAACACCAACACCATAGAGCGCAAAAACGTCGATAACTTCGTCTTGGCCATATCTGTGTATCTCAATACAAAACGCTTTTGTTACTGCGTTTGTAACATGAACTAACGTGCTCAATAACCTTTTAAAAACTAAGATTCCTACATTTTTTAAAATAGCCACCTTTTAGAAAGTTTGAACTCGAGATGAACTAGTTCGCTTGGAAAAGTTCGTCAACGCCTAGTTTTTGCCATGAATAATATTAATCGATTTAACATGGCCATATCTGAGCCGCCTGTTTATCGTTCCTTTTAACACTGGCCTTAAAGAAGGCTAGTTGTAATTTAAAGCGACGGAAACTACAGACCTTTTGTCCTCGACTACGAGTTGTAACTGACTCCGAGGGGGCCACATAGCTGGCTACTCTGTCTATATCAGAAGATGTCACAACTGATATTTATATTTTAATATTTTAATCAGTTATGGCTAGCTAGCATCTGGTCATAGCTTAACAGTAGAAATACTTCCACATGGTTATGTTTATGAGTGGTTTTGTTCCTAGTGGGTGGGGCCTTCAGCCTTGGATTTTATGATCATTAATGTATTTGGAGATTTATATTGACAGAGTGCTCCAGCTCCATTTTCATCTATTAAGTGTTATTTTTTGATGTTATTGTGTTCGACGAAGGAGAACACCTACTAATTGTGTTCCGTTCGTGAAGTAGTAACCGTTCTATATGCCAGGCGATTTCACGATTTGGATAGCCTGTGTGGCAGGTGTTTGAAAAGGAAAGGGAAGGGGGTTTTGCGTGCGAGGGAAACGCGAGGGGCGCGCATGGAACCTTTCCGGTAGTTCTAGCCACCTCTTTGGGTTCCGATTTCAACTATGTTGGCCGTGAATGCTCCACCGGCAGCACCGGTAGCGCAGCACTTGAATATATTCACTTCCAACTTTTTTTCTTGTACGCGCCGATCAAGGAATTTTGACAAAATCTTCGTTAAAAAATTCTCCTTCAAACTGTTATTGTTTAAATAAACATTTTAAAGTCTAAAATTGCTTATTCTAATAATATTTTTCTACTAAATTAAAATTACAACAAACATAACTTGGAGATTCCGAATATACAAAGTCTAATTAGCACAAAATAAATAAAACTAAGGGAATATAGAAGTTCTACCTCAATATAAATGAGTATAAGAGCTAATGATATGGCTAGAGAAATATATACAAGAATTTGATTAAACTATGAAATGGTGTAATTCCTGCTGCTCTTTGAATAAGATATTTCGATAATTATTCTTAAAGGATTCTAGTGATACTGCATTTCTAAGTTCCACTGGACGAAAAAACGGATTTACCTCTATAGCAAATTTGGAGCAAATCATCTGCAAATCCCACATTTGCTTAATTTTGCTCAATTTTGCCACATGACATAGGACCAACTTTGCCATAATTTTGCATCAGTGGCAAAGGTGGTAAATGCCGAATTTGCCTCAAATTTGCCCCGTGTGTAAAAACAAGGATAACCTTTACTTTATCAAGGCATTTACAGGGTGTCAAACTTGATAGCAAAACTGACATTTGTCAGGTTTTTTGCCCAAATGGGCAAAAAGCGATCGAAGATGAATTTTTGAATGCTTTTGCTCTCTATAGCAAATTCGGTCAAAGTAGTAATTTGCCACATTTTTGCTCAATGTAGCAAAAGTGACCAAAACTCATTTTTCAACAGTTTTGCCCAGGATAGTAAATCTGAGCAAAAATTCACGTTTGCCACTGTTTTGCTCAGGGTAGCAAATTTGGCCAAATACCACTTTTTTCAAGTTTGCTCAGGATGGCAGATATGATCAAAACAGTAGTTTCCCATACTTTTCCCCATCGTAGCAAAGTTGATCAAATATCAGTTCTTCTGTATCTTTGCTCAGGATGGCAAATATTGCCATGATAGCAGTTTTCCATACTTAAAGTAAGGTAAACAAAGTTGATTAAAATATCACTTTTTTACACTTTCACTCAAGATAGCAAATTTGATCAAAACATCATTATCCAGATGTTTCTTATTTTCATTTGGTACCATAAATGACTCACAAACAATTAAGACACCAAACAAAATTTCAAGAATAAAATGACTTTATTATCTTTAATATACACTGTACAATAAAAAGCAAGATAAATTAAAAGAAAGTTCCATTGACCTCTGCAGGGCACTGCATGTACCACAAAATATATGCCTTTAAATAAAAAGCACATACAATGTGAAACTATCTAAATTCATAAGTGTATAAGAATGTACATTGGGTTTGAAAGTGCAAGTCAACACTAGCTGGTTCATAATTATCTAAGGTTGGTACAGGTAAAACGTAACTCCATTTGAGTGGTATACTTCAAATATACTCTTTCTAGATTCAATTGATACTATTGGCAAATGGTTGTACGATGACAAGTACACATCACTCCCAATGTAGATGTGACATCCTTACTAACGAACAGAACATCAACCACAGGAAATAAAATTAGCCTCAAATTATTATGATAAGCGATATTCCTCTAATTATTATTTATAAGAACTTGTTTTCATCTGATAAATATTATCCACTACCCAAAATAGGCAGTGAATAATATCATATAGTGTACCTAGTGCTATTCACTTACCCCAAGGGGAGATACATCTGTATGATTCATTTTTAACCAAATCAGTTATATAAAAATATTTCTTGTAAATAAAATGAGTTACTATGCGAAAGCTCTGTGCATTTCTATGATTTGGGTACGACTTTGATATATTTCTACCCAGCAGTAAACACTTATAAGGTTAATTTTGTCACCTTTTTAGCATGTACATGTATTTTATTTTACAGGTGCTTTATTTACTGCTAAACCTCTAAAACTAGCATGAAATGACACCCCAATTTTACTCTCATCCTATAGGTAGCCAAAAGCTTTTCAAGTTATGAAAGCAAATCTGCTATCCACTGATTTGGTTAAATACTTGTATTATTATTATTACTATTATTATTATTATATCACTGTAAATAATATGATTTGGTGAAATTCTTGTATTATTATATGACCATAAATAATTTATTACATTTGTTTTTTTTACTAAAATCAAATTATTTGCTAAAAATTTGAGCAATTATTTTCTGATTCACATGATCAGCTGTTTTGCTTGCAGTATTGGACTGATTAAATATCCAAATTATCCAAACACAATCTATACACTATGAAAGCTCTGTAGAACTTCTTTAATTCATCATCATTATTATATATTGTTATTGGCATGCAGGTGATTAAAATTTAAGCCATGCTTATCAAAAAACTGTTATCACACACGGTATTTTTTTTTTTGCATAAAACATAACTGCACTCTTTTTTCATAAAATATGCCAAGAACAAAATAGGATCATGGCATTTGGAGTCCAGTAATTACTCTACTATGGGGTGTATTGGCTAGATTTAGTCCTCGGAGTGGCACTTTTTAAGGCAGTGCTTAGGGTAGCCCTAGGATTTGTCACCACTGCGGAAAGTGGATGCAGATGTATCTCCAATTACATATGTTGGGTGAATGGACACGATGACTGAAAATACAGCTGCATTTACAGGCTACTAGATGGAAGGTTTTTAAAATTCAGTAAAGTTGCCAAGTTACAGAGTGATTCGGTGCAAACTAACAAGGACAGCTCTGCAAAGATGGCAAATTTTGCAGACATTTGTCTGGTAAGGGAAAGTTTGTGGCTCCACCATACCATACAAAGGTCATTGAGATTATGTGACTTTGTGTCAACACTTTATTTCAAATCGGACTAATCACAAACAGCGTAAGAACCTAGCCAATCACAAAATGCTGACATACATGCATGTCTTTGTGACGCAGTGGGATTCAAACATGATATTGTGCACTAATTCTCAGACGGCATGCTCTATACAGAAGGTTTAGAGTGTCTGCAACACAGGCAAGATCTTCATTGGATTGTGACAAATCACTTTGAGATTTGGTAATTTACCTAGTTTTAACGTGGCTCCTTCCCATGGGTGTCAAAGGATATTCACTTACTACATTGTAGGTCTTCATCAAAACTCAAAAAATTGTGCAATTGTCTACTGAGTAATTTAATATGGTTCTAGGAACTTAACTGAAAAGGAACTGAATCATTATGCATGTCAACTTCAACTTGAGTGTTATTATTATTTTGTACATTTTTTATCTAAAATGTCTTCTTCTTTTCTGAATGTTCTTCAAAAATTATGTGTTATGCTTATGATCAAGTTCCTTTTTCTATTGTAAGTGGTGGGTGCCAGAGCAAACTCAGGAGCATCGTCTGGTGCTCCTTGATTTGATGCTGGTCTCACTGTGTGCTCTATTACCATTATTTTCACTTCATTGACTTTGACACCATGCAACTTTGCGGTCCAACTGGGCCATTAAACCATTAACCTCAATGCTCTGCCAGGAAAGTGGCCTTACACAG